CACCCCTTCCCTCCCTCCCTCCCTAGCCAATTTCATTCATTTCATCAGTACCAACAGGTTTTATCCTGGTCTAATCATTCACTAGATTTATGTACCCTACAATTGTCTTCATACGCAATTCTGACATACATAGTCAATCCAATATGACTTTGTTTTATAAACAATTAGAAGTCCTATTACAGTTGTTTCATACAAACTAAGAAAATATGCGACATCTCACTTAAGCTTACTTTCACTGATTGATAATATCCTACATTTTTATTTTATTAACACTTGGGAAAGGCCATAACTTGGAAATCTAAGATCATACCATTTGAAAAATTATCTATAAATTGTCTTCCTTCTTTTTTAAATCCCTTAAGCATAAGATTTGTGAAAACAATGCAATAATATACACATTAGCTTGAGTGGTTTACATAACTCAAAGTGTATATTACATTCATCTTGTTTTAATTCACATGCCTTATGCTGTTGCAGATATATACACATTAAGACACAAGAACACACTCATACGCAAACATGGTACGGATCTTTTTTCCTTAGTAGCCACTTACAAGAAATGTTCCCATGCAGATCTTGGCTGTTATTTAAAAATCCAAAAAAATCAAACCTTCTCAGCTTATTTCTAGTGGTTTCAGCAATGGATATAGGAACTGAGTAAATATTTAAAAAGGAATTTATGGATCTGAGTTCTGGTTCTGTCAGCCTTAGCCAGGCTACGATGTAGAAATTGTTTGCAGCACGTGCACAGTGTGTGTGTGTAACTTCCTAACAATACCTGCGCTTCTGCAGAAAGTGTTCCTAGCCTGATCCACTCTGACTTTATACTGGCAAATACACCACAAATATGTGCAGGCTGCCACGGCTCATAAAAGTAATCTCCCACAAGACACTCTCTACGATGTACTAGTGCTACTGTAGAGTTGATTCAGCTTTTCATTGGCTTATGGGATAAAATGAACAAGGAGAATAGGAAGTCATTTCCCAGCCATAACGAACATTGATTTCTGTGAGGATGGACTATGCTTGGGGGAAATAGCATACAACTTGGGTAAAGATCATAGGCTATCAGAATCAAGGTAAGACTGCCAGCTGATCTGCACTGATGACTATATATACAGCAAAACAGCTGCTGAAATTCATTGTATTAATATTATAAGTTTTCTTGTTTTTCACGACATTCTAATTATTGGGCTGGTGTGATGACAGGATATTATAGCGGCATACCTGGATGGAACAATGATTAAAAATCCTTTGAAGTTGTCATAATTTGCAATCAATACTTAGATTGAGTCATGGGGAATTGCGATGTTTAATTCTTGTTTCACACTCAAGTTGGTGGTTTGTATCAGACTTTGAATTAGAATACGACACCACACCAAGAAAGAGTTCTACCATGAAGAGGCTCTTTCCTAAATATTTGTTCTTCAAGTTTACAATTATTTAAGAAGTAACAAACCAACAATCAATACATCTTGTTTTGTAGATTCTTGTTTTGTAGATAGTGAGCATCACATGATGTGAAGCCTGAGGCACATCTCACCAGTTAAAAAAAAAACAAACAAANCTTGTTTTATAGAATCTTGTTTTGTAGTTTTTGAGCATCAGGTGATATGTGAAGCTTGAGGCACATCTCACCAGTTAAAAAAAAAACCATGTTCATGAGTAACTGGTCTAAATATGAATTAAAGATGCTATATATACATAACTGCGTGATCACAGACATGATGACACATAAAGTTTCATGTAGAAGAATCATCAGTGATTTCATATAAATGGTAATTTTTAACACTGTCTTTGGTCTTTTTGAGCAGACATGGACCTTTTTTAGTGATGACAGTGACAGTTTACCTCTGGGATTCTGAGGCTGGGAAACAATATTTTTTTAAAAGGTCATTTTTGAAAACCAGCTATGAAACAGATGTGCTAGAGGACATACATGTACATGCAGGTACTAGTATCTGTACAATGTGTAGAACAATGTATATTTATTTATTTTCTTAGTCATTTGATACTTTCTGGTGTAAGATTATATGCATTGTAAATGGGTAAAATCTCTTGCTTCAATTATTCATAGCTTAAATTACAAGATTACATTACTGGTAAATATACATGTATAATGCAACATTGTAAGAAAAATTGCTTTGACATTAAACAAAATCTGGTGGATGACATTTTAAACAGTTTTCCAATCAATTTGATCATGCAATACTAATTTTAAGTTCACTATGTGAATGACTTAAGCAGAAATCTGATAATTCACTGAACCTTCTGTAGAATTCAATAGTATGGTCAATTTGTCTATTCTATCATATCAATGAAGCATTACATAAAGTGATTTTGTTAAATGCTATGTGAACCGAATATACTTAGCATTATTACTGCAGGTTCATTGTTGAACATTTCTATTTTAACCAATGTTTGCTTGGATCCGGGATCGTCCAAAATTCACATAGTGGTACACCATTTCATTAAAAACAATTATGCTACAATGAACAATGTTGTCTTCATTACCAGCTAGTGCAAAGAGAGACTCTCACAAACTTAGCATTTTTCTTACGGGAGATATTTTTCTTATAACTGTAAGAATCATACTGACTTGAAATCAAATGATAATTAAAACTATATAAAAAATTACACTCATATACATTTTTTTCATCTAAAAAGTTTTATTCAGTAATCATTCCCTTCTTTTCTTCAAAGATAGCAGGTTGTTCTGTTGGCATTCCAGATCATATATTCTACTTTCCAATATTCCAAAATTTTATCAAAATAATAAGTACAGAAGAAATGAAACAATTGATCAAGTGCCGTTTTCTAACAAACCATTGAAAAAGACATATACATAGATGAATCTGATTGCCAATTTGAAAATCACTCAAAGCACTTAACAAAATGCAGCTGAATACAAACTTCATCAATCATGTCAGCCATATATACATCATTTTATTTTACATTTATACGCATGTATCACATTGCATCTAAATAACTTAACTTCACTGTGTATGCTTTTCCTAAATAACACAAAAGTATAATTAAATTCACTTTTGGGCACTAGTTGCTAACAAAAAAAAAATGATATTTTGCAGCAGCATGTGTGAACAAACAAGTCCATACAAATATGACAATAATGCAGCATCTGGCAATCTTACAATTTAGAGGAAAGGTATGAAATATTCAAACATCCATTTTCTAAAAAAAAAAAAAAAAAAAAAAACAGTCAATAAATTAAACATACATTCCTCTCTTTAAAAAACAGATGGTTAGAAAAAAAATTGAGTATTCATGCATCACATCATTTAATTTTGTTTTGGAAGCAAACCAAAAGTGGAGGAGGCAGAAACCCTCTGAATAATCTTTTTTTGACTGAGAAAATAAGAATTCACTCCCAATGAAACTAACATTCTACAGACTGATCCAACTCCATGGGGACTGTTGCAGATTGCAATCGGATCAACAGCTTAACATGCCTCCATCTGTTTCCAATGTACTTGCGATCACCAGATTTTCAGTGTTCTACTCACTTCAAGAAAGAGGTCTGTTAATCTGATTGCATTCAGCAAGAGTCCCTGGGCAGTTGTATCCAACTATGCAGCACAATATTTTCATAGGGAATGAACCCTTAAAGACAACTGGTAAAAACTGTTTTGGAGGTTAAATATTACAGGAGTTTTTTAATGAAGTCAATTTTTTACTGGAGGTTAAAGTAACTCCATTCTCAGACATCCAGATCATAATGACTGAAGTTTTGTAAAAAAAATCATAATTCAAGCTTGATTTGACATCTTTTCAGAGAAGGCATCAGACCCCCTGCAGCCTCCAGTGGTGATTCCTGTCTCCATGACGACATAATCTGGCACCTGGCACTGTAAACCATACACATTCTGGCACTGTAAACTATACACATTCTGCCATAGAAAGGACAGACCCCACACAGAATACTATTGATTATTAAAAAACAAACTGTGACAATACAATGGAGGTTAATCTGAACAATAACTTAACAGTTTGCACGGGAATCCAGACGACAGGCAACAACTCTTTATCATACTCAGACAATTCTCTGATAGCCTGTGCTAATAATATCAACAACACATATCCTCCCAGTGATGTTCTACCATCCAGGACAGCGACAGCCATTGCTGTGGCAGTCATGATCCCATTCTCAATAGAGGCACTCCTCGGAATCTTCTGGATTACCTATATCGTCTGCAAACATAGGAAACTTTGGAATGCTATTAATGTGTTTATTGTGAGCTTGTGCATGAATGATGTCATGAATATTGTCTTCACCCAAGTCTTTGTGATACAAACGTACATCACACTGTCATGGTTGGCTAATGATCTGTGGTGTCAAATGTTACCAGAGTTTTCAATTCTTCTCAGTGGCTGTTCTGTTTGGCATTCAGCTCTGATAGCCATCCACCGCTACCTTGTTGTAGTAAAGAATAATTTCTACCAAAGTATGTCAAAAACATTGTATGTTGTATTAGTCTTATTTTTGACAAGAATCATTCCACTCTTAGCTGTAGTACCTTCCTTCTTTGCCCGAATGTCGCAGTATGTGCCAAAGTTATTACGATGTGTCATTTCTTCTGCATATTCAGCAAGAACTCTTGCCTCAATATCAGTTATAATAATTATCCCGAGTATAATAGTTGTAGTATGTTTTGCAACAATATTCATATATGTTCGTAGAGTACAGAGGAACATGCATCTTGTGCAAACATCTGTGCGGCGTGAAATTCAAATAACCAAAATGTTCGGAGTTACTTTTTTAATCTTTGTCATAGGATATTTGATATATGGTGTTGTGCGCGTAGTTGACAAAAAGAACAACTTAGACGCTGATGTCTACGTCTTTGTTTCTGTCCTCCATCACATTGGAACCTGTCTTAACCCAGTTATCTACGGCCTTATGAATCAGCAAATACGGAACACCTGTCTCAAAACTGTTGGGAAAGATAAACAAAACAAAACAAAAAAGAAAATAAAGGACAAGAAGGCACAGAATCATCATGGAAGACAAAGTTTAGAGACCAGAAGCTATTTGCAGTGCAGTTCAGAGTCTGATCCTAACCCCACCCCGAAGACTTCCCTGACAACTACAGGTAACCTGGCTGTGGCAATAAAAGGTACCTAAAACCACTGGGGATTACTTCAATCAGCCACCATTAACACCAGGGACTTAATGAAATTTCTATTAACTGAGCCAATCCAAGGTGTCACTCTCATTCTCAGGCTAGAATTGCTTTGGTTTGTTTACCTTTTAATCAGCAAACATTTTGTTTTGTGAATTATTTTCATATTCCTCTGGGAAAAATTCAATGATTCCAGCTGAATATAGACCATATTTCCTTATTAATTGACAATTATATCTTCATGCAGATTAAATTACATCAAAATTAATTACCCATAACTTTGGCATCACATTAGTATTAAGCTTTTTCAGAGTTCTTTTGGTTATTGTTGCACACCTTAAATTCTCAGTTGTCTACCTTGCGGAGAAATAATAATATCCAGTAATACCAGTATAATAATGTGCTCCAGAACTGTTAACTTCTTGTTTTATCTACTGCAAGGAGAATCATAAACAGCTCCTGGGTCCTTCCATCAAAGAAAATAGACAGTAACCATATAGTCTACCATATAACCTGGTTATGACACAGCAATCAAATGTATATTTTTCCTATATGTTTGTGCATTCAATTTGTACAGGGTAAGAGAGTACTGTATGTTTAATTTTTGATGATATAAGTGCATGTCAAACAAATGATATGTGTCTTCTTGAAATAAAAGTGTAAGAAAAACTATATGGCTTTTCTTTTACTGCACATAAAATGACAAATAATAAGTAAGGTGCTCAGAGATAGAAGGGGGGGGGTATGGGGGGGGGGAATGAGGGGGGGGGGGGAAGCACTTACCCCAATAGTAGGTAGCACATTAAGCCATGTGTTGCATACCAGATATGAATTTGATATGAATTTGGATGCAAGGGATTGGATTATGGCATAAAGACACCTAAAATTAAACATTTTTTGTATTTTCTTTAAAGATACCAACTGGCCTGGAAAATCATACTCATGAAGATGAATGTTGAAGTCACAACAGAATAAATTAATTAATGCCTATGAAGTTGAAATTTATGAAAAAGATGTGACAAGAACTTCCTTACACTCCAACATATTCAATGGGCTAAAAAATTCTCTTTTTGCATAATTAGGATTCTATCTCCAATTTGATAGTCGTTGTGTTTTATGTGTATAGGGGTTGGTACAGCTAAGGCAATTGTGTCAGGATGTGAGTAGGTCAACTAACACAATTCATAGGAAGATGTGCCTCATGCAATTGTGTGTGGGTGTTTGAGAGAGAGAGAGAGAGAGAGAGAGAGAGAGAGAGAGAGAGAGAGAGAGACGCTAAAAGGAGCAAAACAACCAGATTATTCTAAAAAATTCACAGAAATTGGAAGATAAAAAAGTCATGACTACATTTCAACAAAAGTATTTATGGTCATCTGAAATGTCATCAAAATAGCAATTAACTAAAATGTTTACAGAAGACTCACTCTTACATGGTTATCACCTATGATTAATTCAGTTTCATTAGTGTAATTTACCTTGCCATTTAATGCAATCATTCATTGTTGATAGTCAACCTTCCATGCACTTTTCCCAAATGCCCATGGGACAAATTATACTCTTTACAGTTGTGTCCTTATGTAAGTGGAAGTACAATGCCCTTGTTTTTTATCACTAGCATGATCTTTATCACCACATTCTCAATGAGATTCCTCTAAGCTTAGATCACACAAAGTCTCCTGATTGGCGTAACATAAAGTGACACAGCTGCATTTTAAGGAGAGTTGGGTCAGAATAATAGCAGACTGGGATACCATACCTGGACCCTACTGTACTAAATGTGGATCAATCTATCTCAGAGGGGATTCTCTCTAAATTGCAATCAACTTAGATGTCTGTCATGCCTACTGAAGTTGCTAGGGGGTAATTAATTATTGTTAAACAGCTTCAGTTGGTATGCCAGTCATCTTAGCTGCTTACGCTGAAAATAATTTAGCGAGAAACCCCTTGGAGATGGATCTATCCTGTTAGATTGATTGAACCCAGTCTAGCTAGTAAGGTACGCCAATGAATAAAAGCTGACAGTATATACAGGCCCGTAGCCAGCAATTTCAAAAGGGGGGTTCTTTTTCTGAAAAAAATGGACCTTTTCCCATAAAAACTTCATGTACCTAGATCAAATTTTAACCGGAGTGGACCTTTTCCCAGCAAAAGGGGTGGTTCTTTCGAACCCCCCGAACCCCCTCTGGCTACGGGCCTGATATATCCAGGGATATTTTTCTTGGTTGTTTTCTCTGAGTTATGTCATATCACTGTGTATTGTACCATGAGATCAACGTTTTGTGTGTCACTGTTGTATAGTTTTCTAAAACAATATTCCTGCCGCATTACTCCTATCACTGCAAAGTCAACCCCACCTTATACAGATTCAAGTATGTTTCTAGGAAAGAGAGATTGTGACTAATTTCACTTAGCTTACTGGTAATTATCTTGTCATTTAATACAATCTTTTACTGTCTCTGTAATCAGTCTGGGGACATATTCTTTACATTTATTTCCTCAACTGCCAATAAAATAAACTAATTTTTACGACATTGGGACCCTGTCACCATAAGCCTCCCGGAGGCATTCTTTAACTGTCACATTCATGTGCCTGCACTCATTCCCTCTAATTGAAAAAATATCCATTAAGTTCATCTTCTGCTAAGAGGCAGTAGATTTATAGGACAAAGGCACTCGTTTTTTTCCTGGCAGGATGCTCTGAAGCATGTCCAAATTCTTAATTATCAAGGATATCTCCACTTTCCACAACTTTTAATCCCATTCCTGTCATGTTCCACATCTGTTAAGTGATATAAATGTGTGTTTTTCCTTTTATCTGTCTTCACCAAAGTACTCCTATTTATGAGGTCTACGGAGCTGTAGTCATATCTGTCCAAAACAGCAAAACATTTTTAGCCAATTGTGGCAACAATTAAAATAATGATGATATATTGATAATGTGCTGTTAGGAATGCTGAACTGCCATTTTTTATACAGGCAAAAATGGCCTCACTCTTTAGGAGCAAAGGGTCATCTCTAGACTGAGTTCCAGTTAAGTTGTTTAATAATTATCTTCCCTTACTCATTCAAACTTTTCCTGGGTTTCAGTATAGACAGGTGAGAAAGAAGACCAGTTCAAGACCCTTTGTGTGAGTAACAACAGGGGGGTCTCTTGCCTGCGTGGTGCTAATTACATAATTACTGAGGAGCAGTTAAGATACCATCTACTAAGTAAAATGGTTACTTTATTAAAGTTCAGTATACATTAAATGATTTGGTTCTTAGACCCCATTCCTAGAGATTAGATCGATCCAACCAGATCGACCTAACTCCCTAGGGGTTCACTCTAAATAACTGTCAGCTGAGCGGGCATGAAAGTTAATTACCCCCTTACAGCTTGTAGTAGGCAGGACGAACATTTAAGCCGGATTATCTGACAGTAATCTAGTGAGAATTCCCAACGAGGATAGATCGATCTAAAATCTATGGGAATGTGCCCTTAGTTTTGTTTTTATTTTACATGTACCATGACAAAGAGATAGGTCAACAAGTATAAATCCCAGAATCAAGAAGCATTTCAGAGTGCATATTTGAGCCAAATGAAATCTCCCTCCACTGATGCTACTCAGTATAAGAGGTTTGCATCAGGGGGTACCTTCTATGCATGCTACCCTCTAACAATTTACCGGTATTTTATGAAAAGTTAATTTTTTATTTGGTGAATAAAAGTCACCCAGCATATAGCCAATATCGATTTTTATAGTTTCCTATAACTACAGATATATAAACAGTACTGTATTAAATGGCAAGACAATTAGCTAAGTGAGATAAATCATAATCTCTTTCTCTCTCTCTCTCTCATACAAGAATCTAAATTTAACTTCGATCTGTAAAATAAAATTTAATTTTTAAACATCAGGACCCTGCCTCCCAGGGGTGTACATTACATTCATCAGTTTTCACTCTTTCTATTTCACTGAAAAAGATCCATTAAGTTCATCCTCTACAAAGGCAACCATTTTTTTGTCTGTAGAATACAAATGTCTAAATTCTTAACAAGCATATCCCCACTTTCCACAACTTTTAATCCCATTGCTGCCATGTTCCACATCTAGATGTTAAGTGATATAAGAGTGTATTTTACCCTTTATCTGTCTTCACCAAAAAGTATCCCACCTTATTATATCTACAGAGCTGTAGTCATTTCTGTCCAACGCAGCAAAACATTATTAGAGAATTAAAGCAACAATTAAAATAATGATGACTGCCAACTATGCAGCTTATGGTGATAATTATGTAAGATAAATTATTTCTGACACCATTCAGGTATTATTTATATCATCTCAGAAACAATATGACTCATTTAACTCCATTAATCTCCCCCTTTAATAATTCCACAACTTTTAATCCCATTGCTGTCATATGTTCCACATCTGTTCAGTGATATAAAAGTATATATATATTAAAAAAAAAAAAAAAAACACTCATATGAATTGTGGTTATTTTCTGTTAAAATTTAGAAGTATGCACATCATTAAATGTAAATAAAAGACAAAGAAATGCACAAAAAAAAAAACAACTTCTGCATCATTTAAACATGAGTGCAAGTTGCAAATACTGAAAATCTTGAAAATGCAGCTTGCAATTTATCACTGCATTAGAACCATTTGAAAAAAGGACTAAAAACAGAAGACTGAAAATCCTGTAATCAGGCATACATATAATCCTGAAAATTTCACCCATGTTAACATTTAACAAACAGGCTATGCTATCAAGTACACATGAGGAAGACATGGGCACTCTTTAGGGTGGTGTTCTTAATTGTGGTGTCGTACTCTTCTAATAATGTCAGTAATGAAGTTTCCTGTTTGAGATGAAGCTGTTAACCTTTCAATTGAGTTAGTTTTCATCTGAGTGAACACCACCTTAACAACTGATGGAGTACTTTGATCTGTTAACACCGTGATGTTGAAATCCCCGATGAGGCAATTACCTTGCCACTTTTTCACGTGGAACAATTAGT